CCCGCCCCCCCTTAATCCACGCCTGTCCGCGTTTCAGGGAAGAAGTGCAGGGAGATCAAAACCGGAACCAGTGTGAGAATTTAGACTTTTTCTTATTGAACAGTGCGATTCGCCGGGCCCACGCCACCCTGATAGAACGATGGACGATGACGACGTGTCTCCCCGCGAAAACACGACCGATGAGCCGCGGGGTCGCACTGCGCAAGAGGTTGCCTGGCACCGGGCGTTCACTTCAAATGGTATTTGCGCCCTAGAAGTCAACGAATCTTCTGCGATCCCAACTGTCTTGTAGATCGAAATCCCCCCTACGAACCCCCTTATGAACCCCCTTACCATATACTTCCAAAGTATGTTCACTCGCTCTAAAACCACCCTGTATTCGCACTAGTTTTAGCAGTAACTTTGGAACAGGCGTCAGTGCTGATATCCGTATTTTCGATGACATCAAATCGAAACAAAATGGATTATTGGTAAGGTGGTGTAATCAGAATGCAAGTGTTTCTGAGTGAAAAAAGCAACCGGCCTTTAATTCATTACACGATATCATATTATTTTTTTTTACAAAAAACAAGAACTTTGCAAAAGAAAGAAAACAAGAAGTTGCAAACGAAAAACAAACAAATCCTTTAATATTACACATTTCATGGAGGCAAATGGATCCAATCCTCGTACGAACGTTTAGTGTGGTTCTCCAAACATGCGGCCATAGGGTCATGAGAGAAAAGGCAAAGGGGGTGCCAATACCTACTACGGGCCATTATTTCTTCGTGGCACTCCAGTTTACATGCTTGGCAACGCTCTTCATTATCAGTACAGTATCTTTTGACGACATAATCATGTAACAGTAAATGAAGTGAGGGATTCACCGACATGACGGTCTTGACCGTGTCACAGTGCAGCCACGAGTGAGCGCAGTCCTTCCCCATCAGTTTCAGCTCAACTCTCTGCAACGAGGGTGCCACGTCGGGCGTGATGGCCAGCAGAAGGTCGTCCAGGTTCGTAGCGTTCTCTTCTAAACTCAGGCGCCGGAGCGCCGAAAGGGACGGCAGAGCTCTGGCCACCACCTGAAGCAGGGGGGCATTCTCGACACCGTCAGGGCGCAAAATATAGTTGTAGATGAGCAGAGTCTCAACGCGCGACCTTCCGGACGCGGCCAGAGCAGAGACGAGATCCGCGCCGACGTCGGCGACGCTACGCACCGCGGGCCAGTACTCCAGCTTCACTTCGCGGAGGTGTTCGGCACGCCGGAGGAGCTTGGCCACCCCCGCGACGGTCTGCCGGTTAAGACTCCTGGTGTGGACGTTGAGCTCCAGGACCCTGAGTGTCTTACAGGTTGCCAGGACCTCCAGCCCGGGCAGACAGGAGCATGTCAGCTTGCTGAGGTTCGTCACGCCGGCCAGCAGGGGCGCGGTCGAGCTGAACGCCAAGCTAGAATCGGACTCCCCCAGGTCAACCTTCTCGAGGGTGGCGGCGTGCTCGGACAGGATGAACCTCACGAACGGCTCAAACAACGGGGAGAGGGTGCACCGGAACTTCCTCAGTGACGATGCGACTGTGGTGCTGGCCAGAAAGGGGGCGGGTGTGGTTGGCATTGGCTTCTTTGCGGCATACACCACGACACAAAGCCTTTCCAAGCGGGATGTCGACGCCAACGTGCCGAGCAGCACGGAGACTTCACTTAACGCGCCATCGTCAGCATCAGGGTCGAAGTACACGACAACGCGCTTCAGCCGCCCTAGCATCTCTTGCCTGCAGATTACCGCGGCGGCGTATGAGGTACCTTTATTCACGTTGATCGCCAACTTTGCCGCGGCGCACCTGGTCGATGCGTAGCTCCACTGGCGGCATCCCTCTTCAGGGAGGTGCAAAAGCATTTTCTCGAGGCACGGCACCAGGCGCAGCACGGGGCACGCACATACAGGAGGAGAGGACACACCACGCAGAGTACGACCTCGCCACAGAGAGGGGTGCAAGACCAGGACGGCGAGCCTCTTGCACACGAGGCGGCAGTTGAAGATGTCCCGGTCGACCGTTGACCTCATCAGCTTCTCCAGCACCAGCAGCCACACGTCATCCGGTAGCGTCTCCATGGGTCTGCAAAGGCACGGTCTGGATCAGCACGAGGAACAATGCGGCGTGGTGACGGTGCTCGTACGGTGCGCCCCGGCAACAGTCACGGTCGAGTCTTGAGGGCAGGGTTGTTGACGCTAACTAGCGCGTTAGCGGCGCTAACCGCGCTAACGAAATTTTTGTTAGCGTTATCGTTAGCGCGCTAATATTTTTGTTGTGTTAGCGTTAGCGACTAGCGCCGTTAATGCGGCCTGTTCATTAGCGGCGTTAACACTGGTACCTACGATACGTCAAGTCACTACATTTTCGACTAGACACGCCAGCGTGACAGCAAACACACTATTCAAAGTGCTCTCAATTTCGTGTTTTTGCATCGTCTTTATCAGAAAAAGACTGACTTTGGCGAAGATTCGTTTTGCGTCAGTTAACGCGTTAACGGCGTTAATGGCGCTAACGTGAGTTTCATTAGCGTTAGCGTTAACGTTTAGCGCGCTAACGATTTTTTGTTAGCGTTAACAACCCTGCTTGAGGGTCGTATGATAGCTAGTTTGTTGTTATTGTGGGGGAGGAGGAGGAGGAGGAGGAGGAG